AGTTGAAGACGGAGGGCAGCTATGCGAGGGGAAGGCATCACGTATGAGCCGACGGTATGGACAATGGACGGGTGGGCGACAAAGCCTACACCACTGACATTTCGTGAGGGGACCTTCTCTCTACGGATCACAAGGGCCCCTTGCTTAGTTAGCGTTTGTCGGTCTTCTTGATTTTTGCTTCTTATAAATCAATCACGTGAAATTTAATGCGATCTGCGGCTGTAAGAAGGGCGTGAAGATCGGCGTCTGTGGAGAGTGTTCTGGCATTATACGTGCATAGTAAGAAACAATCTCCATGGCGTGTCGTGCGTGTGTTCTTCAGATCCGGTTCCAATGACGTCCTGCGTAACCCGAGATTTTCTAGCCTTTCACCGGTCGTATCACCGCTTGACGTCACAGACGGGAGTATCCAGTGTGCGGGGTACTGAGGCTGGCCTATTGCTGGTCGTGCAACTTGGTTCTCCTTGGAGTTCTGGCCTAACCTTGCAAGGACATGTCCAGGTCTTCACCACGTTGTGGATTAGAGAGAGGTGTGTTTTCGGTGACTAATCCTTCGCTCGGTCTTCCTATTAGCGGATTCGGAGAGATGTTAAAACCGAAATCAGAAGCGAAAGTAAGAATGTAAAAGTAGCCGACCGCTCAAGGACGATGGAGAGGCCGAAACTCTATTTTTATTCATTTTATTTTACATTATTTATATTTATTTCGTTATTTCATTTTTTATCTTTATTTTATTGTATTCGGCAGCACACAGTAGTTAATTTCCGTTATGTTCTTGTTTTGTTTCTTTTTCGATCTTTGCTTGATCACCAGGTGTGCTGTCACATTTCTCGATGGATAGGAGGCATACACGTGTACAAACGAATCCCATCACTTCGATGCAGCATATGCCGAATTTTTCATTACCAACCTCGTCCAGCCGTCTAAATGACTATTTTCTGGTGATTTTGGTGAAAGTTTTAAATGGTTTTAGCTCCTTTTTCCTTCTAGGAAAATATGTCTTCTTTCTTAAATTAAAACTAAGTGAGCGTAATACGGTGTTTACAGAGAGCAAAATATTAAGCCACTCCGGGTTTTTTCAGAAGTGTTATCATTAAGAACTTGATCAATTTGCATGTATAATACAAGTGCTATGATAGCTTGTTCCCTATTTGCCATATTAAGCATTTTTTGTGGTTTTTACCAAATCATATTTTTTCATAGAGTGAATTTATGACGAGAAGATACTTCATTGGTATCATATAATACATATGTTCTATTTGGCTCAATCCCATGGACCGTGAACACCACGGCCTCCGTGGTGGCCAAAATGGTGTCAGACTCGTCATGATGCATGAAAAACATTGGGTTTAAACATCGACTGGCCAGTACAAGTTTTTATACGAGCCAGATATGCATTCTTTCACTTGTTTGATGCTACAAATGGAGTTGGATGCACGAAACAGCCGTAATGGCTAGATCTGCTGCAAAAGCGTTTTCTTTTTTATCGTTTTTCAGCTAATCAGTTCTAATGGGAAAATACCCACTTACAATCTCTTTAAATTCATCTTGGTTGAGAATGGTGGGTGTTTTTGGGTGTGGAGCAGCTGTAGCATACGAAAAGAAGTTCTTTCCTACAGGTTTCTAAATTTCCTCCAGTAATCTCAGCAAAGAACATGCCTAAACGACATTAGAGCCTCTCGACTGAGCTATCAATGAATTTTTTCACTAAAAATACGAGGTATATTTTCAGCGTTGCAACAAAAACAAAAGCGGTTGAAGCATGACGAAAATGAATCGAAGAGTTATGGCATCTTTTAAGCGACCACTGGTGACCTCGAAGCAACGCTACATGTCCTATCACTCCATCTTTTTTTTTCTTTAATGATTGACGGTATTCTTTTACAAAAAATTTTGAAGAGAAATGTAATGCTTTCAAAAGCCCACGAGCCAGCTGATCCTACTGGGCTACTCTCGCGCGGCAAAGGCATAAGTATAACAAGTGCTAGCGAAGGTTACCCGATAATTTTTAAGATTATAGGTGATGCAGCTGACACATCACGTACAAACAACGTTTATATTTGAAGGAAGAAGGACTAACCTGCCCACCTTTTTGTCAGCTTATGAATGAAAAAAAGGAAATTTAGTGAAAATATTTATGATATCCAAAAATATGTTTAGCAAAGTTTTATTTCATCTAGTAGTATTTGAACAGCAGTAATGGAACACAGCTATTAACGGTTATCAACACAGAAAACAACAAAGGACCATCAGAGATTAAGTGATGTGCTTCGATTACGAAGTCTCATTTTAGAACAACGAAAACGATAGAAGTTGCATCGTTAGCGAAGCAGAGTGGAATTTTTTTCCTACTCAAATCATGCTCAATCATGGCATAACGAACAAGCATGGGAACATTCCCTGCAGTTTCATTTCAAATAATATCCTGCCACACGAAAACTGTGGGAACCAAATGAAAGTTATAACACATCAGTTTTTAGAAAAGCCATAAAACCCAGAACACCACATTTAATTGGCAAAACGACTACGTCTGCAACTGGGTTCACCTGCTGTGAAAATAATTGGATTAAGGGGACGTTAATCGAGCTGTGTACAACTCAATTTTGTAAGGTTGACTGGTTTTAGATACTGAAAATAAAACCTGAAATGGCAAACTTTGTAAAATTTTTAATCTGCGACACAGCATTTTCTTGTATTTTTAAAATTCTGCGACACTTCACTGAAGAGAGCAAAAAAAATGTTTTCCGCGTTAAGAAAAACCCGAGAAATACAAAGGCTCTGAGATGTGAGCGAAACGCAGAACCTCGGTAGGTTTTCGAACCGACGATCACTGCTTCTAGGAGCTCATGAGCTATCCACCGCATAAACCACCTCCCTAGGCTCCTGCTTTGCCTTTCTTTCAGCCATGTTTTTACTATATCTGTCAGAAAGGAAAAGCAAGGGACCGATTAGCTGTTGGATAGCACATGAGCACCTGGTAAGGGTAATCGCAGGTTTGAAGACCATCTGAGGCTCCGAGTTTTGATCATATCTCGGCATCCTTGTGGTTGTTTTTCAAACGGCACCATTCCATGAAAAAAGGATAGGTTGTGGACAAAAAGCTAACAAATTGCGAAAGAACTGTCAGGTTCATATTTTATGGATTTATTCGAATTAGGACTCATCTTGGTTCGGAAACTTGGTAAATATCGAGTTCCTTCAAGTTTGCAAGTAATCTGTGCAGGTTTTTCTCAACAGCTGAAAGAGCACCACTCTTTTACTAATGTGTGAATAGGTTTTAAAATACTGTCAACAATGTGGCCTCCAGTGCTCGAAAGCGCCAGGATGAAGCGCAGGTTTTTCTTGGCCTTGAATTACAATGTACAACGGTTGTTCATTAACGCAGGACGCCTTTGAAGTGGAGAACACGTTTGATATTCTTCCCTAGAAGCCCACCCAGAAGTAAAAATATGTCAAGAATTGCAGCCGTTTTGAATGTAAGCTATGGAAATGGTGACAAATCACATTTGGATCCAATTAGGCCCCGAATGTCTGTAATGATCACTGGGAAAACCTCAATGTGTTCATAACCTTCGGCATTTCTGTTCGATCTTTTATAATGTGTTTTGAGTCGCTGTTGTAATCATTTGTCTTAATGTAAACCCTATAGTAACAATCAAAAGAAGTCGACAGAAAGCAGGTAACTCCGTATATTCAAATAACTCTTTTTCTTTCCATTGTTAAATAGCGAAAAGTCTAATAAGACGTTATTCACAATTGATCGAAAAGAGATCAACTAAACCCAAATTAGAGGTCCTACTGTAAGCTTCAGAGAAACTGAAAATTATCACCTTCTTTTTCATCACAATCAATAATAACTCATTAGTAATACCTCATTTGCATTATTCCAGCGTTATCCTGATCAAGCTTGGTTATCGAAAAATTCTACTAAATTTAATACTACGTGTGAAGCCATATACTCCGCCTAGGTTTTAAAAACTAGTTGGTTGTCTAAAAAATGAGCATTTTTGCTTCTTTCTGAATGTTGTGAAACTAACGTACTATGATAACTCAGATATAGTGCAGATACCCAGATACAAGAAGTCAGTGGAGATCTACTGTTACCGCCACGCTCGACAGATTTCGCACATCCCAGCAATTATCTTCTCAAAGGCTTAAAACCATCTAAGATATAAAAGCTTCAACGATTATAATGATGCTGAGATATTTGCAAAACTCGGGGTCGCAGGTGTCTGCAGTGAGGAACGAACGCGCTATTGTCCTTTCCGGGGAGTAACGCTCTCATCACCGCACCATGCGGGTCCTTTGTTTCGCCTATCTCTCAGCTAGTTCTATACCCTGCCGTTAAAAAGAGTAGGCAGTAAATAATAAGTTAAAATTGCTTCAACGTTTGTTCTGTTGCTAAAAATACCGCTAAAACCTGTGGGCCTGTGGGCCACTCAATTTCTGCTTTGCAGCTCTCAAAAGAAATTTCGTTGCTAAAGATTGGCTGTCGATCGATTCTTGTGATTGGTGGTTACATAGTGGATTGACTCCCGTAATCAGTGAGTGGATCCATGTTTGGAGGATGTATCTATAATTTCGTGGCTTTTAAAGAATACGGTATCTCCGTTTAGCAAACTTTTATCACAGGTAGGATCTGTATACTAAAATAGTATATTTACTCTAAAACCTCCCTCCCCCGCATCACCTACAAATATACTGTAGCAATACATATTTCTTCGCTAATGTAACAAATATCATCTGCTTTTTTTGGAATGTTGTTATACACCTATGGTAAGTAAAACAAATAATACAATATGTACAATGGCACACAGTACTCAAGATTTGCATACCCGACAACTAAACATGTGATCGGACGAGTTTGCAATGGAACAGACAATCGACCCGCATGAGAATGATTCGCAATGTGAGGTATTATATTCGAAGCATCGTCGTCATTCGAATATTGGCCGTGGGCGATTTGATGACATGCCGGATGGTGTTGTCGCACCGCCGATCGTATCCGTTCTTTCCTGTGTTCTACTAATTCGCATGGAACCGTTCATGCTTCGCGCTTCCAGTAGAGCAGCTCGTTCACGACTGCTCACTGGAGCCATGACATTCACAGAACCATTCGCTGAAAAGACGAAAGCTTTTCGGATTAGAAATACACTAGACGAAAAAAATGATCAGCGATGTTTTTCCCTTTTAGAAAAAGCGCTATCATACAATGCCAGTTTACTTAATCTCTTCAGTTTTGCTCAGCGAGCACCATACTGCGCGCAACTAGTGTGTCTGGATAGGAAGAGCAAATGAGCAAAAGATATTTCTCAACCATGCCATTGAAAAAACAAGTATTAAGGTGTTACAAGTTTTTTTTGGTTTCCGAGCCAGTTTAACACGAAAACCTTAACATACTTTGAGCAAACAGTTGAAATTTTTCTGCTACTATTCGTCTAACGATAGTTTTATTCCAGAAAGACTGTCAGAGCAAAATATTGAAAATTACTAAAAACATGAGTTGCTTCACATCAAGAAAAATGTTATAAATATTATGCAAATTGATCGATTTCCAAATAAACACCAAAAGAACTCTCAGAAAGGAATTTAAGCATCCTCTATGCGCGCATTGATTAGCTACAGTCCTCCAATTAAGTTAGCAGTGCGACACTTAAAAGTAGAGTTTTTCTTCGAGAGAGAAAAAAACCGATGAAAAAGTTAGTCGAAAGCATTCCTTGACGTTAGCATACTTCTTCTCGCTGTCATGCCGTTTTGCGATGATCCCGCATACATGGAAACGCTTCGAATAGCTGGTTTACGTGGTTCACCCGTTTCAGATTGATTTGAAAACACTTCAACGATCTGAAAGGCTAATTATCAGAAACATATTTATTTTTCTGTGTCAAAAATGATACAGAACAAGGAAATACAATGTGCTGCAGAATCGACCATTTAATCCGATGTTTTTGAGACCTCACTTCATTGTTTCCAGTGTTGTTATCTTTTTTCAGAGACGCGTGTAGCACATTGGCTTCAGGTGCCCTCATCACACATGGGGTCGCTCCTAGCACTTTAGGTCCAAGCCTTCCATTCCTCTGGGGTCGGTAGATTAGTACCATACTTGTCTGGGAGGATGGCAGCATTGACTCGATACATCGGTAGGTCACAGCGATTCATTGTGAAGGCCATATATGCATTTAGTCACCTCCAACGATACTTAATGAAGTCGAATACATGGCGCACCGTTTAGGGATTGGTGAACGTCGAGAACTCTTCTTACCTTTTTTCTCACGTATTAACCTTGCGAAAAAACAGTAATAATAACTCGTATATAATGCTGAGTTATTTGCAAAACACCGGATCACAGGTGTATGCGGTGGGGAACGAACTCGCCCTGTTGTCCTTACTGGGGAGCAGCGCACTTCACCACCACACCATCCGGGTCCTTCGTCCTGCCTGTCTCTCAGCTAGTTCTACCGGTCTTTTTAATCTGAGAGACAGGCAAAACGAAGGTCCCGGATGGTGTGGTGGTGAAGTGCGCTGCTCCCCAGTAAGGACAACAGCGCGAGTTCGTTCCCCACCGCATACACCTGCGGTCCGGAGTTTTGCAAATATCTCAGCATTATATACGAGTTATATTTCGCAACATACCCTGCCATTAAAAAGAAAAAGGCAGTGAATAAAAGGGTTAAGTAATAATAACGTTAACAAACGTACACTCTCACTGTCACGACTTTCCTGAGTCGCTTGTCGCTGAAGACAGCGCTTAGATGACATCCGATGTCGTCGAAGCGCCGAATAGTAGCCATCACGAACTGCCGAGAACATCATCGCAACCAGTTGCGACCAAGCCGCTACCGTGTCGGCGGGCTATAACGCGTAAACGATGAAACTGTCTGGGTTCTGGATTAGGTTTAAAAATAATCAAATAAACTTCTCGTTTTGTGTTTGAAAATGTTATAGGCATGCAAACCTGATGATTTGCCATGTCCAGAATCACACCCTCAACTGTAATAGCATCAGCGATAGTAACCCAGAAATCCGGTTTGAAACCGTACGTCTTCAATTCTACATGCTCTTCACCGTAAGCCCGTGAAACCTCACAAATATAATCTGGATCGAAAATCTGGAAACAAGTTATCGGCCTTTAAATATGTCGTTTAAAGATGGAAACCTCATCAATAGTTCTTTTTAGGAGCTTTTCTCCGTCAGTTGTATTTTCTAATGATATTGACCAAGTATTCGATACGGCCTTACAATGTTTTTTAAAATAAAAATCGTTACAACTTGTAAAAGAAACAACTAAAGAATTACGAGGAAGAATAGGAATATAAGAGTTCATCCGTATTCTTGGAGATAGAAATATCTAAACACGGTCTAACAGCACGGAAAGCCGGTGCGAGGTACGGAACTGAGTTGTCTTGAAGCAAATAAGCACTTGATGGTTCAGAGTGTATATAAGAAAGAAAACTAGGTTATTATTTAAAAAGGATACATGAAATCAAAAATTGGCCAAAGCTTTTAGATAAAAGTGGGGACAGAAACAAATAGTACTAACAATTTAGAGGGAATAACTGAAATTGAACATTCTAGCCTTGAAAAGAAGCTTCATGATTGATTTTCTTTCGCATAAAAGCGAAAAAAACTTCAGTTGGATTTAACTTCTTCTTGCTGCTTATTTGCTTAAATACTGAAAGTGAACGCTTCAGAAAGGGCACTGGAGTCTTCACGATTACGACTTCATGAGATTTCAGAAGAAAGAATGGCTGCGACGTTTGACTGATCATAATACGAAACTAGTTCTTCGGCAAGAAAAAGAAACGATGTCTGAGAAAAAGTATAGCAATCATGAACCTTAGAAACGACTTCTTCCACGAGATCCTTAAGTCGAACACTCATCTGATACGCTCGCTCTTTACCCAATGCATACACGTACTTTTGATAATCAACACGTTTTTCGAATATTCGTTGCAATACCTATAAACCACATCAGTTATTTTAACGGATTAACATGTCTATATAAGTTACAGCTATAGCCGCACCTATTCATTATAATTCTTAGAAGTCTTCGGTTGATGATCAACCAGTCTTTTATTTCATGCAAGCAGCTATTTTATCTCACTATATGATCTTTTCTAATGAAGCAAGCTATCGTCTTATCGCATTATGATTTCGATCGCACTCTCAGCTCTGCTGGGTTCAACGCCGATATGAGCTTCCCAGATCAATACCGTTTACGGGTGATTGCTGATGGCACTGGTCGATGGAAAACTAGCTCTGAGAAAGGCTGAGCAAGAGCATCCGTGGCGTAGTGTGCAATGCACGAGCTCCCGCTAAGAGAAATCGTGGTTCGATCTGGCACGGAGTTCACAGTTTTGCGGATATCTCAGCATTATTTTGGTTGATATCGTTTTATCACCAAGGGTTAATATATATAGAAAATTTCTTTTTTTCGCCTTGTTACTTTATTTTCAGGTGTTTTTCTTCTTGCTGATCACAGGTGTTCGATGAAACAAACGACAAAATAGGCGAAGAAAACCACGAGAAAAGCAGAAATTGTTTCAGGAGCTTACTACTTCACTCAAATAGATATCAAAACTGCCTCTTTATCTACATAAACACTAAATACGAAGAGTGAGTTATAACCGACTTCAATGTGAAAAATATCTGAGAACAGACAACTAAACATTTTACCGTTCGACGGTAAGAAATTTTGCAAACTAAGGACGAATTTCTAATGGGTAAAATCGGAATGACATGTTACCGTTGATTACTAATACTTACCTTATTACCGAATTCGGAATGCGGGTTTTCAAAACACTGCAGAATAATCTCCCTTCCTTGTGAGCTAATCGGATGTGAGCAGTCCTTGCGAAGTGACTTCGACCGTGTTAATGAGCTCATTGTACTGTAAATGGGAAGCTCCACTTTTACTCACTGACAAAACAATTTAAGTGACCACAAAGTTTTTTGCTTAGTCTCCTCTTTTTCTTCTTCCTGTTTTCCTTTCGTTAAAAGGACGCCACAACAGCAAGCGTTATTTTCCTTTGGTTTTTCTCTCCTCTCTAGATATTTTTTTGGTCTATTCACTAAAAACCTGAGATTACAAGAATATGTCTTCATTTATCGGATATTTATGAAATCATAGAAGAGACATCTATAAAGTGAAAGAACCTTGTAGTGAAGAGGGCTCACAGTTATATCACTATATCACTATACTTGAGTGACTAGGCATTACAGTAACATGCACTTATATTGCTATAACTTGAACTAAAGAGCCCAAATTTCTTGTTACATTTCTAGATGAGAAAACAGGCCTATACAAAAAGTAGAAAAAACAGTCGAAACGACACTAGATTTGTACTTGCGATTAGAGCTCCAGTGAAGCACATCCACTATAATGTTCATGAAAAACTATTTTTTAGCTCCAGATATTATTAAGACGAGAATAATCAGGATAACATCCTATCCGGCTAATCCTAAATTCGATGCGTTTCGGTGTGACGAATAAAAAAAAGCTTCTAAACTGAGTGGATAACTGGTACTTTCACGAACGAGTCATAGTCCGTAAACTCTAGAGAATTCTCCGTAATAAATAATACTACTTATTAATCTCTAGCGTCTCGATTTTTCTTTAATAAAAGGCATTGAAATGGAAAGGCGAACTCATAAGTTCGATTCTTCAGGCGTGTTACAACACCTTAATTAGGGACACAAGAAAAATACTAGCAAATAAATTTTTAAAAAAGTATTCTCAATTCGACAACGGTAGCGAAGAGCATTGATGACAAAGGAGATGATTCGTTTTTCCTTCTTTTCATCATAAACTAAAAAAAAACTCATCCCGGTTTCTTGTTCTGATAAAACGTCAAAAATATTCTACTTCACAGCGTTAAGCAAAGAAGCAAGAGACAAGCGATAAGGATTTAATGAGATAAAATGACTTATGCTTATGAAACAAGATACTCTGGCGTGCATACTGCCATACAATTAGCATAGATTGGGTAGTAGACGTGAATAAACATCAAATGAAACATTTTCATCGAAGAAGTCCGAAGTTGAGGAATTTCGATCGTTTTCATAAGAAGTGTCAGAAACCGTGATCAACGGATTCTCCATGAATAAGAAAATAGCCGAAAGAAAACTACTAATTTTATCAGAACGTAACCTTTTACTTCGTGTTTCCTTAATCGGAATCTTCGGTCTGTCTGGCGATTTCGCTCCTACAATCGAGCGTTTATCTTTTGAACCGAGTTCAACAAGTGAACGACTTTTTGTAGAAAAATCGCTCGATTTATTTTTTTTTGGCCGGATCTCCACTGAATCGGATTTTTGTCGTACTTTCGTTGAACTGGGCGAGTTGCCCATCTCCTGAAGCAAATGATTTTTCATTTGATTATTATATTATACGTTGAAGAAAAGGAAGTTCTCCAACGATTTTAAGTGACATCTGGAAAAATCGCTCAGAATGAAAAATATGACAACGAAAGATTAGATAGAGGCCAACAAATCTTGCTGTTGAGTGTATTCGTTGAGCAATATGCGAAGGCTGTCCAGTCCAGAAAAATAGAAGCGGGAAGTGGGCGTGGCTTAAAGCGGTGACGTAATCAGGATGAAAGCGGGAAAAAAGATAAAAAACTAGGGAAAAATTTTGCATTGAAACAAAGTACATGTGCACGATTTTCACCTGCTGAAAAAATATTAGTCATGCATGTTAACTTTTTATTTACCGCCTAGTGCAATTTTTCACGACAGGGTTCTACGCGAAATACAACCATAGTGATGCTAAGATATTTGCAAAACTTTGCCTGTCTCTCAGATAGTTTTCTAGCCAGAAAACTAGCTGAGAAAAAGGTGAAAAAAGGATCAGAATGGTGTGGTGGTGAACGCGTTACTCCCCGGGAAGAGTAATAGCGCGTTCGTTCCCCACCTCAAACACTTACGGTCCGAAGTTTTGGGAAAATGTCAGCAACGTTGTGGTTGTATTAGTCATGTAAATAGTGTGATGACTATTAAGAGACGTAACGTTGAGCTGTAAATAGGAAGTTAATTTATAGTATTTACTAAACACACCGAAGAATGAGTGGAGCATTCAAATCTCATCAATATAATCAGTTCCTATAATGAATCCCGTGTTCAAAATTTTTAAAATGCTTGAATTAAGTTATTTTATTATGTCATACCTTCTTATTTTCTGCCTACTATAATTTCGCGGCAGGGTACTGAGCGAAATACAACCACAACGTTGCTGAGATATTTGCAAAACTCTGGACCGCAGGTGTCTATGGTGAGGAACGAACGCGCTATTGTCCTTTCCGGGGAGTAACGCGTTCACCACCACACCATGGAGGTCCTTGGTTTCGCCTTTCTCTCAGCTATTTCTATCGATCTTTGCCACAGCAATCACCCGTCAGCAAACAAAAAGTAAAACATTATGCTATGCCGATTTGGGTGCCCCAGATCAATCCTGCTGACAGGTGATTGCTGTGGCAAAGATCGATAGAAATAGCTGAGAGACAGGCGAAACGAAGGAACCGCATGGTGTAGTGGCGAACGCGTTACTCCCCGGAAAGGACAATAGCGCGTTCGTTTCCCACCATACAGTCCAGAGTCTTGCAAATATCTCAGCAACGTTGTGATTAAATTATTTTACTTTTCTACGTAGTTGGCTAACAGGGAGTAGGCATAAACTTTCACTGGGCCAAAGTTTCGGTCTTTAAATTATTCATGTAAACTGTGAACTGTTCAATATGATCTCATAAATTTAAAGAGCTATAGAAAAGTCAACTGTGAAAATTACTGAAATTCATTCGTTGCAAATGAGTTTAAAAAGGCAGTGATTTACCAACAGCGAGAAAAAAGTTGCTAAGGCATTTCCAAAGGAACCATGACGAAGAAGGTGTTCTTTATCGCTGAGCTCGAACATATTGTCTCCAAGATTTCGAAATGTATTCTAATCCAACTCAAAGACAACGTTACATACGCTAAGAAATTAGAAATATCAGAAAGACGAAGGTAAAATTTCCTTCGCTACTTCCTGCTGTTTGCAAAAGTCGACAACTCCACCAAAGACATCTTATCTCAGGAACCTAAGTAGAAATTAAGAAAGATGCCTATTATTGTCACATTAGCTGCATTATCTGGACAAATCGTGAGACCGCGACCGAGAGACTATGTGTAACAATTTTTATGTCCTTACATTAATTCTGATCTTACTTTCTCAGAAACAATGCCCTGCTTAAATAAAGCTCGCTGCAATTCATAGGCAAAAATCTGGACTAGTCTAATTTATCGCTCACGTGTTACTTGCGGATTAAGCGAGTTACCCTGACAAGTGCATTGCTACTCTCTCACATTACAAATTATGTGCACCATGCATAGATATATGTATAGGATATCACTCCATCTGCAGAGAACTTGAAAAGCATTTTTTAGCCTTTTTTTGCCTGCACTATGATCAACTAGTTAAAGAGTTCTGTCACTTCAATTGTACACGTTTTAAATTCTTCTTCTTATTGTTGTACATAATATTGCTAGTCAATACTCGCTACTATTAATTATTATTAATTGTTTTTATTTGTTCTTATCTGCTTTTATTTTTTTGCTTTATTTTACTATTGTTATTCATTATTAATAGCACTAACGTAAAGATACTCTCCTACTATTTCGTTGCTTAAACGAACATTCGCTACCTTTCGCTACTATCCAGGGTGTTCATTGAGTTATCATAAATGTACGTTTTTAATAATCAATGTGAAATATTGCATTAAGCACGCATGGAGATGAATGCGTGGTGTTGGATATCGAAACTTCACTAGGTTATCATGACTGCAGAGGGACGCGTCCGGCAACCAGTGGTAGTGGTGGCGCTTGTGGTGGTTATTGTTTCGTCACAAGGGTAAAGGCGTCCTCAATCTCAAGAACAAACCAATTCCACAATTTATTCACACAAAACGACTTCACAGTGAATGACTAAAGTGCAAACGTAATGAAAGCGTTTTGTAAGATCGATCAGTCTCCATGAGCCTCATTTTTGTTTTCCACATAAAAGGAATGTTTAAGTTCTGTTTAAGAACCAATAGCAAGCGGTGATAGTTAATTCTATGGCCGCTTACTCATAGAATCTCTAAGAATTTACGAAAATTTTTTAGACCTCTTGTTCATTACTAATTTGGACAATCGAAGAGCTTGCAAGCAAAAGGCTTCGTATTTGTTTATGTATTATACTCTTTTGTTTCTACATTTTTCTCACTGCCTAATACTATAAAGACCATGGTCATCCATACAGTGGGTTCTCCACTAATTTTATCGCAGTAAAAAAACGCCTTCTGTCCTCATTCAAAGCTGAAGCATGTAAAACAAAAAGGACTAAAGAATCAGTAGAATTCACAAATAGTTCTCAAGATAAATGAGTTACTTTGTGTGCGTTCAAGGGAATATGGACGACCTTAATTCGATGAACAAAGGACACTACACATTGTCCATGTCATCCACCAACCAGATGTTTATTTCTTCGTGGACGCAATTCATAGCGACTCAGTTGAGTCTTGCTCACACTGTTACCCGTGTAAACGAAGATGTCCTATAGAGTAGGACTTCCTACGTCGTAAATCATGAGTGGCCGAAATTCGGAATCAACTTAAAATTTGGTTGTTGTTGCTGTGTTAGAATCCTCTATCCTTACTCTCCAAAGTTCTTCACAAACACTTCCAAAAGTTCTTAACCAATACGAGTGATGATACTCAGCTTCGCAATACACTGACATTGTTCCCTGGAAACATATCTTGTAATCTTAAACTTTGTTTTACAAACGTAATCGCATGGAAGAGGATTCCATGAAAAAGTTTCAAGAGGCGTTTTTTTTTTGCGACATGTGAGTGAGGACGCTGGAAGGACACTGGATGTGG